CTCGCGTTCTATATTGCCCTCCACTCGTCAAGCCGTCCTGTTCTCACGTATGTTCGTTGTAACAACCACGTTATTTCCTCCCTCATCCATAAGCTCTTTCGGCTGTTGACATATGACAGAAGGGGCTGGAGAGGAATGCAGCAGTAAGGAGAAGGGGAAGCCACTAACGCCTTCATCCCCACAGTCCGCGGGACCCTTTCCATGGCTACAGTATACTTAGTGGCTCGTAACTTTAGCCGCGCGCAAAGGTAAACATTGTTGTGGAACACGCGAAGCTGTACGCGTGCTGTGGTGACGTTCAGAGCTACTCCCAGAGAGGAAAACATTGCCTACGGAGATCAGGAGTAGATACACAACGTACTATACACCTGACCACACTTCAAGACGCTACATTCCAAACTGGTAGTACCCACGCTGACGTAAGCTTATAAGACTGCCCCCCTCCCCCAGCTCCGCGAGAGATGGTAAGACCCCTCTACCACGGCTAGAGTTCCGAGGAACTAACAATAGAGGTTCAAGCATTATTTTTAGCGACCCGTCCGCAAACGCATCCATACAAAACCACAGGCACAATAGCAGCATATCATAAGCAGATACTAGATGAAAGTACACTTAATAGGAAATATTCAGGGCTTAAAAAAATTCACTCATTCACTCATCAGTGGCTCTGCAGCCCTTTGTTGGGTCCTGGCATCTTCTTCAGTTTCGTAATCTTTTTTACACAAACGGTAGGACGCTTTGGATGAGAGATCAGCCCGTCGCAATGCCGCTATCTACACACAGGACACAACAAACACAGAAAAAAACGCAAACACAGACAACCATGCCTTAAGTGGGATTGAAACCCACGATTCCAGCGTTCGAGCGAGGGAAGACAGTTCATGCTTTAGACCGCACGGCCACTTTGATCGGCCTTATAAGGTATACTATCATAATTTATAAACAGAAAATTTTACACAATGAAAGAATTCAAATCCCTTTAGAATGTTTCAGATAATTAATATTGTGGCGTGCCGCCTAGGGCCGGAATATTTGGAATCAGAACGCATCCATTGCTATACAGCAGCTAGAAAAACTAAACAACCAATTGTTCAAGGCAGTTATATGACAACGGCTATGAAATTTCGTAGCAACGTGAGAATACGCTAGCTAACTAATAAAGTTACGCTACAACGAAACAAAATACTAGCTACCGGCGGATAGAACAGGTGAAACAGACCCCTTGAACAAGGCGTCTTCTAACCCGTTCGACGGTATGGTATAAGGGAAGACCAGGTAGGAATTGAGACCAGATTACAACGCAATACGAAGAGATTACAATGAGCCGAGTACAAGGTAATACGAAAATATTACAGAGAAGAGATTACACAGACATTACAGAAATATATATAAGACACTTCACTAAAGATCAGCGGTGTAAGTAATTTTAACATTGAAGAAGGAACGTCTAAAGTTGAGAATAATTTTAAGTGTGAGTGTAAAAGTGACTGTTCAATAAATATCCGTTCAAATCCGAGAACCCACAAAATTTCTTGTCGCGTTGTCTAGCAAACACGCAACAATATGTAGTTTACATATTTAAATAATTTCAATGCAGTAAATACTTTACAACGCAGAGTGGAGGCGGGTTAGAACACCTCTGCCGTAGCCCTGCGAGTCGCAGAAAGTGACGAAAAGGAACAGGGTGACTGGGGGTATGACTGGGCCACCTTGTTACTGGGGGGGGGGNGGGGACATAAATACAGACTAGTCCTCCAGGTTGAAAATTGGACGCGAGGCTGACGACATTTTGCTCTGGAAAAAATTATTTTTGTGAAACGCAAAGATTTGAAAACCGGAGGGCCAAAATCACGACACACAGCCGGCAATAGTAAAGTCTTGGGGAAACTTCTAAAGAAGGCACTGGCTCAAAAAAGGCCTGTTTTACGAATGATGATGTTGATGAAATGCTTAGTAGGTCACGGCTTAGACAGGAGAGTTGCTACAAATGTCGCACAAAGTAATTAAATTAAAAATACATTATGCCCTGTCTGTTGACAGTTGGAATTATATATAGAATTCTGTTTATATAAATCATAGGCGAAGTCGGGATAACCCAGTCGATATAGTTACAAGCTAAGGGCTGGAAGGCCAGGGTTCGAATCCCGGCAGGAGCAAAATTTATTTTCTTCACAACGTCTAGACTGGCCCTGCGACCCAACCACCCTCCCATCCAATGGGTACCTAGGGCGATTTCCCCAGGAGTGAAGCGGTTGGAGCGTGAAGCTGGCCATCCACCTCAATCTCGTGCCGAGGTTAAGAACTGTGGAGCTATACCTCCACTCCTCTATATGTGTTCATGGAACAGTGCTTAATTAAGCACATGAACAATTTTATCTTTTATAAATCATAAAGAAAGGAAGGACCCTTGAACTCTCATAAGAGACAGTCCACCTACAAGGAGTGGCCACCTTGCCTCACATGAGCACATGTCTCGCTGGCCCAGTGGGTAGCACCTGGTAAGGGTCGTTCCCAGGTTAACATGAAGGGTGGAGAGGACTTGTTATCCATGGTAGGGAACCCTGAGTAAAAATCATAGCCCTCCATGATATAGGTTTTGCAACGGGCTTGTAACCCGCTCAAGTAAAAACGCATTACTCACGGTCCTCAAATATTCAATTGCCAGAGTTTTGGGACAGAACGGGCTAACAAACTTAACCCTTGCAGATGATGAGGATGATTGAAATCGTAAAGAATTGTAGAAAATAAAACAAAATTAATGTCTAGTTTATGTTAAACTCAACACAGATAGAGTGAAGACATTAAATAATTCAATTTCCATCGCTGGCATATTCCACAAATCGAGCACAAACTCGAAGTAACAATTTCGCGCCTTAGACAGCGGCAACTTCTCTGACACTATTGTCGTGCTAATAGTCTAAACGCTACTCTGCAGGCGGTAGTGTCCATTAGGTTTAGATACCAGCTGAAATAAATAATGATAAAAATATACACGTATTCCAATTTGAACATGGATACATTCCAAATTCGAGTATTCGTTGGCCTTTAATTTTCATTTGTGAGTTCCATTTTTTATTCAAATATTCATCGCATCGAAAAAATTTGAAATAATCATTGCAATGTTACTGGGAGGGACACGCGATAGTATACTTGGTTGAGGCACTACGATACAAGCCGGAACTGACCTAATCCTTGCAGCCGCCGGTCACGGTAGCCGAGCGGTCTAAGGCATGAACTGTCTTCGCTCTCTCGGAAGCCGGGATCGTGAGTTCAGATCCCACACAAGGCATGGATGTTTGGTGCGTGTATGCGTTTATTCTGTGTTTGTGTTGCCCTGTGTTTAGGTAGAGGCTTTGCGACAAGCTGATCACCCGTCTAAGGAGTAAAAGGATCATGAAATGATAAATCAGCCCTATGCTCCAAAGTGGGGGCTAGAGGAAAAAAAATTCTTGCAGTCGCACTATGGCCGTGGGGTCGACTCAGCATCCAAGAAAAATGAATAATAAAACGGCTCTTCAGAAACTAGGGAACAAACTTCATTCAACGGTAGATTCTAAAAGGTTCTGACGATGGTGTATAAATACTCAGAATTACTTGGTTCTTTTATCTTCATTCAACACATTTAATACACGAAATGTTTCAGCCTATTTGGCAGTAATCAGGTGCGTTAAAATTGTGGGAGTAATCGTTGTACTTTTGTACACTGTTGTACCGTGTGTTCATGCTTTTTCATAATTTTATGATTTTAAATTTGAAATCTTAAATATATTCCCATTTATGCTCCGCATGTGTTGTAAACTGATATATTTGTAACATGTAAGAATGAGTCGTGTTAATATTTTATGCATGGACTATATTAATATTACTGTCAATGCAGCTGAATATGTATGAGTACTTACTTTTGTGTTGATGTGTGTGTTTTCTTTCGTTACGTCAACCAGTTCTAGAGAAAGCTCATAATATATATATATATGTGATATAACGGAATAAAACCAAAGTAAGTACACATTCAATTGCATAAAAATAACATTAGATTACACTCTCGCTAATCCGGTTACAGTTAATCTGGATCAAATACTAAGAATGAAAAATGCTGTTCACAGTTGAGTACATACTTTAATAGACACATGGCATTTAGGAAAGCCGATGAGTGACTTGTCTGTTCAGACAAATTTTACATTTTCTTCAAACGTGCATTATTATATTCAAAAACAAGTACAACTTCCGAGGCTTCTATCGATGAATAAATGTATTATCTTTCTACAGTTTTTAAATAAAGGGTCTACAGTGGTAATTTTGTATTTATTTTCATCAGCAATTCTTATATCATTAAATTTCCTATTTATTTTTGTTCTATTTTTGTTCCTTTACGGTCACCATTTGCTTCACTAATCCCGCTTAGCGATTAATCTAAATGACTTCTTCCCCCAGTTACTTCGGATTAGCGAGGATTTACTGTAATACATACCATACATATTAACACGGTTCATTTTTACATGTTACAGATATACCACTCTACAATACATGAGGCGTATAAATTATATTATACATCGATCTTAAATTTAAAATTATAAAATCAGGAACACGTATCGACACGAGGTACGTACAACAGTGTACAAAGTGTAACAGCTCCTCCAACAAGTTTAATGCACCTGATGATGGCCAAATAGGCTGAAACATGTTGTGCAATAGATGGGTTAAATAAAGGCATACAATTTGAAATAAATTAGTTGTGATACTTTCAGCGTGAGTTGCATGTGAGATGGCAGTGAATATATAAATAAAAAGCAGACGCAGTGCAGCAGAATGCTATAGTACTACATCGCATTCGAAAATATTAAGATAGCAGTATTTTAGTTTTCAATTTTGGATAGAAACGATATGAAAAAAATATCCTTGAGTGACTTTTCGGCGCGATTGTTTAGCATACAACAATGGATGAATATAATGTTACTTCCGCCTACAAAGTTAGCAGGTTCGCCATGTTAGGATTTTCTCACCCAGAAGTACTCGGGTTTGAATCCTGGGATGCGGTGGTGTGATGCGCCGACTTGTGTCAGGTAATCGAAGAAGGAGTCCAGGGTGTCCAGGCTCTTGATGCCCTCGTCCAGAGTGGCCATCACAGTATTGGCGTGCTCTGCCAGTTCCATGCTGTTCGCTTGTTCATCGCGCGTGCGCAGTTCACGGAACTTCTCGAAGAGATTCAGTAGTTCCTGATGTTCCTCGAACAACCTGCAACACGAGTAAAGTTAATGATGAACGCTACTCTTCGCGAATACGCCTACTATTACTCTGTACAATAAAGCAATAGTAACAAACTCGTAGGCCGCGCCATAGCTCAAGCGGTTAGTCTCTGGCTTACCACCGCGGGGGGCCGAGTTCAATCCCGTGTCTGGTCAAGTGGGATTTGTGGTGGACAAAGTGGCGCTGGGGCAGGTTTTCTACGAGTACTTCGGTTTCCCCTGCCAATCTTCATTCCACCAATTGCTCCACAATCACCCTCACCTATCATCTGGGGCTGGTACAATAGCCCAGAAGTGGCCGTAGTACAAGGGACTTAGTCCCACCCCACTAGCATTAAAAGAAAACTCGTATATGTGATCTCTAATTCTTTATTAAAAAGGCCAAGGCCAGATTTCTATTAATATCAGACAGTTCCGGGTTCGTTGATGTGGGGCGCCCTCTCTGAGGAGAAGACGGGTCTATTGTTTACAATTACTGCTGCCTCTCGCCAGCGTTGTCATTCTTGGGTTCGAGTGGCACGGGAATCGGGCCTACTGCCTCACTTTCGAGAATCTCCCAACCTGCAGGGCAAGGTTTCCTTATTTATATCTCCCAGAAACAGGGTGACCCAGTTGTATCCAAGGCCTCCTACGACGCGCAGGGCCGCTGTGAAGGTATTTGAACCCGCCTCCATGCTTGGATCACCAGGAACATCTAATTGGCCCTGCTAATAACATCTCGGCAAGGAACGCTCAGAAAACACCATTCCTGTGTTGCAGTTCAATTGTTTTGGTAGAAATACGCTTGTTTACTGAGCCGTCACTTAGTAACGGTCGTTGTATAGTTGCTTATTTCGCGGTCGTTTCCTAGCAACGAGCCTACGTGCCACAATACTTTTTAATTGATGCTTTATGAATGAAACCAACTTTGTAGTTCATTCATCCTTATGGGGTGTAGGATGTGACGTAAAAATGTATAATATTTTATTATAACAAAAACAAACAAAACAAACTCCTTGATTTAGTCGGCAAGTGAACCATACCGACCGAGCGACCGCCGCTTGTCGGTGAAGTTAGTGCAGTATCTGTAAATGGCCCTGGAATAGCAAGGATGGTAAAGCGAACAAGCTAGAGGATGCAAACCGGGGCATCGGCGTCCGATTTCCGGTAGGGGAGAAAGATTTTTCTCTTCTCCATGGCGTTCAGGTCGGTTCTTAGGACCACCCGGCCTCCTGCTAAAAAACGGAGAGTGGGACTCCTTCCCGGGAATGTAGCGGCAGGGTGAAGCTGATCACTCAGCTCCATCTAGTGCCGAGGTTATGAACTGTGGAGCTATACGTCCATTCCCCCATATGTCTCCAAGGCGTGATGTTTTATTAAGTGAGCCCGGGGATAACTTTACCTTAGTAAACGCAAATTGTCAGTAAGATTAATGCATTTATCCAAGATTTGTAAGTTGTGTGCCTACACAAGTCAGCATAATGACTACTTAAGGATAAGATGTGCGGGAATTGATTGGAAACCGGTCCAGACGGGCTTTGATGCCCTCCTAACATTCTACCCAAGGTCACCAAGAGAGCTTTCCCCGGCGGTAACGAGGCCGAACCTTCAAGCTAACATTCTACTCCCACCCAGTGTCGAGGAAAAGACTGCACGGATATTCTATAACCTACACCATTCTTACTCTCACTTTACAAATTTATCTATTTCGTCCTTAGGTCGTGGGTTCGGAACCCTGCTCCCCTTTAAATTTAGAAAGAGCTACTTTCTACACGACCCACTAGAGGGGTCGCCATGGTTACCTAGTTATATATAGTACTCATCGATCTGATTTAGTGTCGCTACGTAACAGCTCTAGAAGGCAATCGCAGTGGCTGGCCTACTTTGGACCACTGAGACAGACCATCAGCAGACAGCGTGTCCGGACAATCCGTGAGGAACTATTCGATTTATGAGCTTAACAACAAGACCTTAGTGCTCTATACTCGGAAAACCTGAGGTTCGATTCTCGGTCTGGAGGCTGACTGTCCTAACTGAAATATTTTGTCACTGAACTTCAGAAAAACCTCATCTGATATTCGCAAGGTTCATATATGCATCCGCATACGGAACTTGGAAGTTATAACTTTTCTCTCATACTGAACATAAAGACGCCTCGTGTGTACCCTTATTCTCGCAAGACACACAAGTATTCGTTAAAATTAGATATATTGTGTAGACTTTTAGGGCCCAAAATAATCATTTTAGCTATAGGAAAATATTACCTAGACAGAGACCACTTGGGAGACTTAAGCGCAGTCGGGGAAATAGTGTTAAGGCGCGTCCACATTACTCGTGCTTCTGCTCGTCGGGAGACTCGTCTGGCTTTTACTTATGCTCGTAAATCTTCGTCCACACTATTTCAGTTGCTCGCTAGGCTTCGGCGCGTGAGGATCCGTATATTTACTCGTAGTGTGTATAGGCTGTAGTCATATTTTAATTTATTGGCTATAGTTTTTAAATTTGCTTTTCTCGTGACTTGTCATATCGTCCACATTACTCGCGAGCATAGCGAGTCGCACGAGCACGAGCACGAGTAATGTAGACGCGCCTTTAGATCGTAAGATCGTGGGCAAATACAGTGTGAGCACTGAAATGTATTCATTTGGCCTTGGTTATATATTAATGGTGTATTCCTGTGAACACGGTAATGAACAAATGGGTACATAAAGAGCTTGTAGTTTCTTGATTACCTGAGGGGCTACTGAAGTCTCAAAGTCTCTGCTCCATTGGCTCAGTTAGAAACACATTACGTGAATATTGTCTAAATCTTGTAAAAATAGAATGACATTCTGGATTAAACGGAAAGCGTCCTACTGACATCCTATTACGGCTCATGTGAATGCAGAGAGAGGCACAACCGGAAGGAACCATTTTAAAATTGTTTTTGAAGGAGACATAGACAATATTTTTATTCAGTAGATGATTATTCAGAACTTAATAAGAATTACTTCCATTTTGGAAGATTAATGAATTGAATGAAACCTACAATATTTTACTTAATAAAAGAACCTCTGTGGCTTTTAGTCCGCAAGCGAATTATACCGACCGAGCGACCGCCGCTTGTCGGCGAAGTTAGTGTCAACTTTTGCGGATAGAGGGTGTTGCGTGGTCAGCGTAAAGGATTCCCACGGCTGTTAATCTCGGTTTTCTATACCGAAGCCGCTACTTCTCCATTCAAGTAGCTCCTAAATTATCCTCATTAGACTGAGTGGACCCCGTATCATACCCAATACTTCTCAGAAAATCTGGTAACCCCGCGAATCGAACCAAGGACCTCTGGATCTGTAGCCAGGAACTTTGACCACTAGACCACAGAGGCGGTAAATTTTTATTTTATTTCCTTTAAAAAATGAATGTATCAATTATTTAGACCTGTAGTCTGTAGCACATGACGATATTTCATGCTTATCAACTAGCAAACCGTGCGTAAATGTTTTTTTAAAGCTGGCTTTTTAACGATGCTGTGAGTATGGAGGTTGTATTGCGTCGAGCAATCATGTTAAATTGAATTACAACACTGCGGTCATGTCTGGCACTACCCATTGTCTGGAGCATATTTGGTATACCTGACGATTTGGGAATGCAGTCAACGATTGAACAGTCATGAATACTGTAAACTACTCGTACAAATCACATGTTATCATCCACGATCACCAAAGTTCTTATGCGAAAAGGAAATACGTGTAATGTAAGAAATAGGAGTGATATTCTGTAATCCCGGATGTGCTCCATTTTTAATTAACTGAATATTCAGGACCACGATAAACATAAAATAAACAGCGTAAATATTAAATTCTCTTGCGAATATCTCTATTACTTAATGTTATTCGAACTGGCGAGTAATCAAAAATGGAAGCTCGTAATGAATAAATAAAATGTCAGTTAAGGCTTCGCCGTTCACTGTTATTGCACATTCAAGAAAACTAAATAAACCGGTATATAAATTATTTAATGTGAAGAGTTATATCTGCTGGGACAGAATTCCGTGTAGTCCGTTGAAAGTTAACTGATGTTTCGGAGGAACATGTCGCCACCATCTTAATCACGGTCGAAGAATAAGCCAAGCAGAAAGAAAACGTGAAAGCATGTACCAAGGAAGCTATGTTCTAAAAGCAGAGCTTATTCCTCGACCCTAAAACGGAAGCGACATGTTCCTCCGAAACGTCGGTTGACGTTCAACGGACTATATGGCAATATATCCCAGAAGATAGAACTCTTCATAACCACAGCTGTGAGAACCTGGGTTTCTAAATTATTCTATACGTTTCAAAGTTGTACGTACGAGTATTTAAACGAACCTCCACATTGCAAGAACAAAATAAATCTTGTTACTATAGGATTCTGACGATGGTGTATAACACACTGATATATTGGGTTTCTGGACTTTGTCCATCGTCCTGGTTTTTAAGATAACAAATAAAAACACGACGTTTCGGAAACTGGATCTGTTTCCGTCCTCAGGTGAAGGAAAAGGGGAAACATCTATTCTGTTGGGTCCGTTAGAGAGAGCTAGCCTCAATCACTGGTCCAGTTTCCGAAACGTCGTGTTTTTATTTGTTATCTTAAAAACCAGGATGATGGATAAAGTCCAGAAACCCAATATATCAAAATAAATCTTACTTCAAAGTAGTCAAAATTCAGACTTCTCTTTTTACAAAGTGCCATGTTTTGCTGAAAAGTGAAGTAAACATTTTCTTGCAGATGTACGTAATTATCATGATCAGGAATAAAGGATTTCTGCATCACGATGTATGTGTATTTTTAATCAAAGACGTAATTGTAATCCAGGAAGAGGGACTCGGTAATCTTCGAGGGATTTCGGAAGGCCGCTGTTCGTGTTTGAATGTGCACGTTCGGAAATGTATGAATATCGTCACAGCTGTTTAATTGTCTCTAACACTGCAAGACTTGTTGAAAACTGAAGCGTTACTAAAACATTATATTTCTTTTATTTTTCTCTACAATATT